ATTCACATGTGTCTCCTTGTTTGGAATTTCGATACTAGTGTTATCCCGCGTATCATACTCTTCAGTATTATTTAATAAAAATGCTGGCTTTAATCTATCAATAGAAACAGTAGATTCTTTGTCTGCCATTAATATTTTAAAATATTTTTCTTTACGGTCTAATACTTTGTATGGTCCTGAATATGGTGGATTTAAGGACTTACATAATTTATCGCACCGTAAAAATACATGAGAGCATTTTTGCAATTCAGGGTGAATAAATATATTTTTCTGTGATTTCTCTCGTTTGGGTACTGAACAAATATTACTTATATGTTCTCTCAGTTGCTTTAAAAATGTCTCGCTATCGGAATTTAGTGGCGTTGTAGGCTCAAAAAAATCTCCGGGTAGCTTAATTGGACTGCCATAAACCATCTCCGCTGCACTGGTTTGCGTACAATCTTTTAGGGTTGCTCTTAAGCCTAGTAGCACAGTTGGCAACTCCTGAACCCAATTATTGTTTCCTCTAGTCATTAACGATGCCTTAAGAGATCGATGCCAACGTTCGACAGCACCGTTTGCCTGTGGATGGTACGCAGTTGTTCGAACTTTCATAATACCAAGGCGCTTAGATAATTGATTGATAAGATTCGACTCAAACTGTCTTCCTTGGTCAGTCGTAATTCGTAAAGGACAACCAAAACGTGAAATCCATCCTGAATATATTTTCTCTGCAACAGCCTCAGCTGTTATGTCTCTTAAGGGAAAAGCTTCCGGCCAACCCGTGGCTCGGTCTAACATCGTAATTAAATATCTGTATCCTTTGTAAAGTGGTAATGGACCAACAATATCAACATGTATATGTTCAAAACGATTGCTTGTGGGAAATTTACCAAAAGGTGATATTGTATGCCTATGTATTTTACATTTCTGACAATCTATACATGCTCGAGCCCAGTTAGCAACATCTTTGTTCATAGAATGCCAAAAGAATTTATCGCATATCATCTTTCTAGTTGATCTTATAATCGGGTGACTCAATCCATGTACGGCGTTGAAAGCCTGCACTCGAAATTCTTTAGTCAAATATGGTCGTGCGAATTGTTTTGAAACTTCACAGTAAATTGATTCTTGACTGTTATGAAGTTGAAACTTTTTAAAACATAAATTTTTAGATTTTAATAAAACTTGTAATTCTTTATCTTTCTCCTGAGCTTCGCTAAGAGCATTATAGTCGATGTATGATGGCATGTTAATTTCAGAAATCCGTGATAACGTATCAGCAACAATATTTTGAGATCCACTAATGTGTTCAATATTCGAACAAAATTGCATTATAAAATCGAAATGTCTTAATCGACGCGGTGTATCGCTGTCTGTATAAGAATTTTTTTTCAAAGCATAAACGAGTGGTTTATGATCTGTGTAGACTGTTAAGGGGCGTCCCTCGATCAAATATCTGAAATGTTTTTATAGCCATATAGATAGCTAGTAATTCTCTATCGAAGGCACTATATCGCGTTTGCGCTTCGCTCAGCTTAGTGGAGAAAAATCCTAAAGGCTTCCATGTGTCGCCTTCACGTTGCTGTAATACTGCGCCAATGCAAGTCTTAGACGCGTCCGTCATAAGGGCTATATTCGCGTCTGCAGCTGGGTGTGATAGTGTAACGGCGCTGATTAGGCTCTCCTTACACTGTTCAAATGCCGCAATTGACTCATCTGTCCACCTTACTTCTGTCTTGTCATTTTTTCTAGAGTTATGTAAAAATATATTTAATTTTGACTGAATCTCTGCTGCTTGAGGAAGATGTCTTCTGTAAAAATTAATCATACCTAAAAAACGTCTCAGTTCCTCGATTGTTTTAGGCCTAGGAAAATTAATTATAGAGCTAACTCGTTGTTCTAAGGGTTTAATACCATCTTTTGAAACGTGGTATCCCAGAAACTCTATTTCGTTCTGCCCAAAATTGCATTTTGAAGTGTTAATAGTTAAGCCATATTTATTAAATCGCTCAAATACTAGTCTGAGGTGTTCCTTATGTTCGGATTCAGATTTCGACGCTACTATTACATCGTCGATGTATACAAAAATAAAATTAAGATTTTGAAGTACGACGTTATTTAAAAATCTCTGAAATGTTTGAGCTGCATTTTTTAGCCCAAACGTCATCCTTGGGAACTCAAAAAGACCGAATGGCGTAGTGATGGCTGTCTTCTCTATGTCTTCACTATTGATGGGAATGAAATGATAGGCACGTGTTATATCGATCTTCGAAAATATCTTTTTACCCGACAGTAAATATGTAAAATCTTGTAAGCGTGGAATCGGATACCTGTCAGGCTTAGTGATGGCATTTAATTGCCTGTAATCACCACATGGTCTAATACCACCATCCTTTTTCGGGACTACGTGGAGTGGACTTGCCCAACAGCTCTTCGATGGTCTACATATGCCTACGTCTTGCATGATTTCAAATTCCGATTTTACCTTCTGATATTTGTCCGGAGCTAAAGGTCTGGGTCGCACAAATACAGGAGGTCCTGTAGTCTCAATATAATGAACAACAGAGTGTCTTGGTGTATCTTTGAAACAAATAGGTTTCGTTATATCGGGATACTCTAACATTAAGTCGTAATATTTATTATTTATATCCAACGTAGTAATAGATGACTCATCGTGTTGCACTATCGATGTTATAGTATCTATATTTGTTATTTGATCAATAAGTCGACGACGATATAAATCTACTATAAGCTTATGATAGGTTAAAAAGTCTGCGCCTAATATTGGCTGTTTAACGTCCGCTAACACAAAAGTCCACCGAAAAGGTCGGCGTAAATTTAAATTTAACACTAACGATTTAACACCATATGTCTTTATTTCACTGCCATTAGCTGCATAAAGTTTATATTTATCACTAACTACATTGTCATAGAGTCGTTTTTTGTACGGTAACACTGAAATATTTGCACCTGTGTCCACAAGAAAACGTAAACCACTTTTGCAGTCGGTTACGCATAAACGGTGGAACGGCGTTATGGTGCAGACATCCACCCTTGGCTGCACCTTGTCTAGTTTTCCGGCTGCTCCTTCCAAGCACATGGCTCAACATATTTCTTTGCTTTAACGCCGAAACGGTGATGATAGAAACATAGCCATTTCGATGATTCGGACCTGCGGCGTCGTTGTTCGGATACTGAACGTCCGCGTGATGTAGTACGTCGCCTCCAATTACATCGAGTACTTCGATACCTTGGTCTCGATCTCTCAAGTTCCATGACCTTCACACTTAACTTGGCTATTTGCGACATAAGAAATGACGTATCATCCGATTTTTCAGCTTGACAATTTACTTCAGCAGCATGTAAAGGTCTCGTGGTCTCCATAATTTTGTCAGCGATAGCTGCAAGGCTATCTAGATCCTTTACCTCGCTAACTGCCAACACCGCTCGAACTGACGTGGGTAAATGTCCTTGCCACATGATACACAGCGTTTCATCAGGTATCTTATTACGAGCCAAATCCCGCATTCGCCTAAGAAGCTGAGAAGGCTTCTGATCGCCAAGTTCCATTTCCCCCAGCAACTTCTGGAACTGTCGGTTCTCCGACTCTTCGTAAACAGCGAGCAAACAATTTTTCAAGGTCTCATATTTATGTGTTCCTGGTGGATTAAGCACAATATCGCTAACCTGCTCGATGACTTGCTTGCCCAATTTCGGAAGCAACAAGTTAAACTTCGCTTCATCGCCTAATTTTTGAGAAGCTAGCACCGCCTCACACTGGGTGAACCATAATCGCGGCTGGTCGCACCAAAATTCCGGTATTCGCGATGATACGCTGATTGTTGCCAGTTCTGAATCTTCACGTAAATTTTCCTTCGCTTGTACAACTGGTTTAGAATTGGTAGCCATCGTATATTTGTTCTTCAGTCAGGTGTTGTTTTTCAGTCGGGGTCACCAATATGTGGCGGACGTGAGGAGAAAATAATAAGGCTTTAATATTAAGCGTTTATTGAAGTGCGTATTGCACTTGCGAGACCAAGCGAGAGACTGTACAATCGATACATATTCGATCTATAATCTAATGTAATATCTATACTTATATATTATGCCCGTTACACATCATATTACCTCATGTTACATAGGTACACACAACGACGATCGATTATATATATATTGTTTTTTTTTTGGTTTGGGTTAGGTTTGGCGAAAAATATTCCAATGAGTTATTAGATATTATTACTTCATGTATGTACGGGCCAGTACATAATATTTGTCGTATAAGCACATTACGCCATACTACGTGGATAGAGGCTATATATATTTCAATTAATGAATCCGAAAGCAGTGTCGCACGAGTTGTCGCGGTTGCCGTCGTGCGCGCTCACGGGTCGTTCTATCAATAATATCATTCTATCATTCTATCATAAAAGTACGGTTAATATACAATTAAGTTAATTTTGGACTATCATTTACTATATCAATAATTCCTATCAGCGTTAATCTCTATCAACCAAAGACTGTAGGGGTTTTCGTCTCAGCCCGTACATCTTTGTGGTCCTTCGAGCCGGATTTGAACCAGCGACCTATGGAACACAAAGATGTACGGGCTGAGACGAAAACCCCTACTGTCTTCGGTTGATAGTGATTAATGCTGATAGGAATTATTGATATAGTAAATGATAGTCCAAAATTAACTTAATTGTATATTAACCGTACTTTTATGATAGAATGATAGAATGATATTATTGATAGAACGACCCGTGAGCGCGCACGACGGCGACCGCGACAACTCGTGCGACACTGCTTTCGGATTCATTAATTGAAATATATATAGCCTCTATCCACGTAGTATGGCGTAATGTGCTTATACGACAAATATTATGTACTGGCCCGTACATGCTCCCGGGCCGAAAGATAGGAACGTTGATGAGGTGCACTTAATCTAATACAAGATGATGGGCATTTTCACTTAATCTTATATGATAATAAAATATAGATAACAATTAAATCTTAAACTAAACCCCGGTGTCAGTTATAGAGAAAACTGACTGACGCACTGGCGAAGTGCCCCTATTTTTACGGAACACACGCTCACTGATAGCTTGGTCACTCACTTCACTTTTTACTAAATTGCTCTTACACTGCCCTACGTCACTTAATACTTTTAACTTTACACTGTTCACTTCACTGTCACACGGCTCTTCTACTCGAGCGCTAGGCGCTAGTCGGCGACGCGCGCGTCTGATGCGCCGCCATCCATATACCGCCGCGACCGCTGCGGCTACCGCCACAACTAGGTAGGTCACGGTGTAATGATGAATATGATGGTATGATACTCCTTCTATACTTGGTTCACTTCTTTTTATGGTATCCAATTGCTCTTGGATTGCAAGTAACTGTTTCTGATTGACTACATAATTTTTTTTCCAAATTATAAAACTGCGCTATACATTTATTTTTTGACTCTCCTAATTTTTCTTGATAATTTGATTTCATCGGCAGCCTCACTTCGTATCGTCCGTCGCTTCGTCGTATTGTGGTAGATTTATAAAAATTGACGCATTCCTGATCTTCTAATGATAAATTTGGTGTTTCTGATATATCCTCGATCTCCCAAAATGTTTGTATTTCTTGTAAATTATTAATAACAACGTTACACTGTAGAGTTTTCACGTTTCCCGTTAATATCCAGCCCAAACGTGTATTTTGTGCTATTGGTATATGATTATCGGCCTTACGAATTCCTTTTAATAAAATTAACGAATAAATATCCGCACCTAAAAGTAGATCAATCGGACGACTTACGTAGAACTCGGGGTCTGCTAAGGTAATGTTCTCTAATAAATGCCACGATGGTTTGGAAAATGTATAATTAGGTAGATTCTTGATGAGGCTTTTCATGATATAAACTTCGGTCTTAAATTCAAAATGACTATTCTTCGATGCACATTTAATAGATATGACGCCCTTACAGTTGCTCTCTTTCGCACCTACCCCTGATATCACCCCTTGACATCTTGATCTAGGTTGACCGAGTACTTGAGCTGCATTTTCGGTGATAAGCGAAGTTTGGGAGCCCTGGTCTATAAGAGCTCGCATGTTAACGAAAGTTCCATCATATTTTTGTACTTTAATAATGGCTGTAGCTAAAAGTACCTCAGGCATGCCGCGTTGCAACGACACGTGCGAGTTGCTTTGAATTTGCTGAGGAGACTCAAAACTATTTGTTTGACCTGATTGCGTAAATGATTCGTGTAAAATCGTATTATGAGTTTCGTTACATTTAATACATCGTTTTTCGGAAATACATGGTTTGCCGTTATGCGAATAAAGACAGTTTTCACATACATTAAGTTTTGATACAGTTCGGCGTTTTAGCTGCGGTGTCATATTTAAAAATTGGCGACAATAAAATAATGAATGTTCGTTGGTTTTGCATACTCCGCACTTGTAAAATTTCAATGAACTGTTGTTTTTGATATTAGCTTGTTGCGAAATTAGCCTACTGTGTGCCGGAAATGCTTGCTTGTTAAAACTTTTATTATATTTATTAAATTGTTGCGGCGCCAAATTATTCGTCTTATGCATCTTATTCATATATTGATATTCTGGTTTCTTACGAGCTGACTCTAAACTAGTAAATTTACACTCTAAAAATGACAAAAATTCCTGCAAATTAGGTATCTCCCTTGGTTGTTTTACGATTGATAGGTATTCATGGTATGTGTCTGTATCCAATTTTTGAGAAAGAATATGAACAAGTAGCGGATCCCAGGATTCCACGTCGACACCCAAGTTCTTTATAGCGTTTAATGTCTCTAAAGTTGTATCGTGAATACGCTTAATATGATTTAATGAAGTTTGTTGTACTACAGGGATGTTTAACAATATTTCAATGTGCGAACGGAAAATTAAGCGCTTATTACTATACCTGTTATTTAAGATATCCCAACTGATTGTATAGTTATCAGAGGTAATAGGCAAGTGTTGTATGAGCCTTTCTGCTTCGCCCTTTACTTTTGTTTTTAGAAATTGCATCTTTTGTGCATTAGATAATGACGGACTTCTATGAATTGTTTCGGTGAACAAGTCTTTAAATGAGCTCCACTGATGGTAATTACCGCTGAAAGTTGGTATCTCTACGTGTGGCGTCAACTGGTCCCTATGTGATACGGACCACAGCTTCCGGTTGATAGATTTTACTATATCATTATACGTTTTTTCGTATTTAAAAAATAATGATTCGTACTCTGGGTTTCTATTCCCAATTTCGCTGTCTAATTCCCAGTGTAAGGTGTCAATTAAGGACCAACGCGATTGTACTGCTCGTAATAAATGATCGAACTCCCATTTCTCTGATACCGATTGTAAGTCAATATTTGATACTGTGTGCTCAAATGCTTTAAAATTGCTGCTCTGCTTACGTAACATTTCGTCAGTCTTGCTGTTCGTCCCCTGAGACTGAGATGACAACTGACGAGACGGACCGGGTACAGTTAATGGACTAGCTGATTTTTGAATAAATTTTTCGGGCTTCTCTTCCTTACTTTGATAGTTAGAAATTGCTAATCTAATATTATCGTACCTTTGTTTAATAATCTCAAATTGATTGCCCGTAAAATAGGAATGAGACTTGGCGTATTCCATTCCGCCTAATAAAAAATGGTTTGATTGTAGTTCCTGCCAGTACTTATCTAAGGTATCCAACCTCCGCCTGATGTAGTCAGGCGTCTTTCGGTCGGCACCATCCTTTTTAAAGTTCGTGTAAACTTGCTCGATTGCCTCAAATAGCTGTTGCTGATTAGCTAATATGTCTTCCATACTCGACATGCTGATAGTAATGATAGTGATACAAATAAGGAAAGATCTTACTTGATAAATCTGGATAGCTGCATACGTTGCGTTACGTTGTGTTGGTGAGCCGTTTATAGCCACCAAATCCAAGTGATAGGCAATGGTTATAAATCCACGCGCCGGAACTGTTGTTAATTCACGTTATTCGTCTCCTGATACGTATGTCCTCACTTGTGATACACAGAACTAATAAAACTAACTATGAACACACGCGAGGTCCACTCGAAGGGTTGATTACAAAGTCATATAAAATAAGTTCTCGGTTCTCGAAGGACCACAAAGATGTACGGGCTGAGACGAAAACCCCTACTGTCTTCGGTTGATAGTGATTAATGCTGATAGGAATTATTGATATAGTAAATGATAGTCCAAAATTAACTTAATTGTATATTAACCGTACTTTTATGATAGAATGATAGAATGATATTATTGATAGAACGACCCGTGAGCGCGCACGACGGCGACCGCGACAACTCGTGCGACACTGCTTTCGGATTCATTAATTGAAATATATATAGCCTCTATCCACGTAGTATGGCGTAATGTGCTTATACGACAAATATTATGTACTGGCCCGTACAATGTATATCAATTTACACAACGACGATCGATTATATATATATTGTTTTTTTTTTGGTTTGGGTTAGGTTTGGCGAAAAATATTCCAATGAGTTATTAGATATTATTACTTCATGTATATCAATTTACACAACGACGATCGATTATATATATATTGTTTTATTTTTTGGTTTGGGTTAGGTTTGGCGAAAAATATTCCAATGAGTTATTAGATATTATTACTTCATGTATATCAATTTACACAACGACGATCGATTATATATATATATTGTTTTTTTTTTTGGTTTGGGTTAGGTTTGGCGAAAAATATTCCAATGAGTTATTAGATATTATTACTTCATGTATATCAATTTACACAACGACGATCGATTATATATATATTGTTTTTTTTTTTGGTTTGGGTTAGGTTTGGCGAAAAATATTCCAATGAGTTATTAGATATTATTACTTCATGTATATTAATTTACACAACGACGATCGATTATATATATATTGTTTTTTTTTTGGTTTGGGTAAGGTTTGGCGAAAAATATTCCAATGAGTTATTAGATATTATTACTTCATGTATATCAATTTACACCACGACGATCGATTATATATATATTGTTTTTTTTTTGGTTTGGGTTAGATTTGGCGAAAAATATTCCAATGAGTTATTAGATATTATTACTTCATGTATATCAATTTACACAACGACGATCGATTATATATATATTGTTTTTTTTTATGGTTTGGGTAAGGTTGGGCGAAAAATATTCCAATGAGTTATTAGATATTATTACTTCATATATATCAATTTACACAACGACGATCGATTATATATATATATATTGTTTTTTTTTTGTTTGGGTTAGGTTTGGCGAAAAATATTCTAATGAGTTCCGTTCTAATACCTCTGACATAATCAGAGACTTTGTTTACATATCATCTTTATTGACTTGTATTTTGTGCCAGGATATAAATGTATTTCTTTACATTTTATATTACTTAAAAAATATTATACTTAACTTTTCTTTAATCATATCAACTTACAACTAATAGCTCTTATGAACTAATAACTCTTATCGACTATTACTTATAATTCTCAAAATGTTTTTTTTTTTTTTAATAATAAAACTAATCAATCAATCAATCAACTAAACTAAACATTTTGTATTCTATTTATTTTGATTTACTGTTATTTTTACTAATTTTTTACAATATTCCAAAAACTTATCTCTAATTGTATTGTCCTGTAATATTTTATTCAAGTTTTCCTCCTTTACATCATAATTTATTTCTAACTCCAAATTTAGTCTCTCTCTCAGGTACTTGGGGCAGCTAGTTATTATGTGTAAAGAAGTTTGGTCCACATCCGGGTCGCAGTCGCACGACGGGCTGTCCTTGCACTTGAATCTATTCAAGTAAAAGGAGAACCCGCCGTGTCCGGTCATCAATTGGGTTATCAACGGGTCCGTTTTTATTTCTTTTAATATTGGGTAGGCGGTTATTGCATCCGGGAAAAATACTTTGGTGGTGGCCGCTGTTTCACCACTTTTATACCTCTGGTTCCATTCGTCAAGTGACTCCAATCGGATTTGTCGCTTGACGAATGAGACTGGGCATTTGCTATAATTAGATTTAGTTTTGAGGTTCGTTGCCGCTTTTGCCATAATATTGGCGCGCTCATTTCCTTCTATTCCTGCGTGGGCCTTAATCCAAAAAAGACGGAGCCGTCCTCCTCCCTCCGTTATTCTCTTGATATTTGTCCTTGTTTCTACGGCCAGAGGATGTACGGATGTGGTGTTTTTTACAGTTTCTAAGGCCGATAGGGAATCGCAGTACACATTAGTTTCTTCGGCGCCTCTCTTTATTGCCTGTTCAGTGGCTTCCTTTAGCGCTAGAAGTTCTGCCTGGTAGACGGTGCAGTACTGATCCAATTTAAGTTTTCGGGTACTTATTTCCGTGCCATTTTCCCACAGAGACAATACCGCGCCTACTTTCCCCTCCAACTTACTGCCATCTGTATAGATATTTAGGCCTGTGGTGTTGTATTGGTTCAGTTCTGCCTCGTCCCCCAGGCATGTGAACTATAATTCTTCATATTCCGCCGGGTGATTACAGCTTCCGAAGGGCATCTGCGTCTCGATTTCCCTATCGCCTACTATTCTCGTGGAATAACCTCTCTTTATAATATAAAGCGAGGCTGCTTCTCTGACTCTTATGTCGAGAGGAAGCAGGCCCGCGAGCAGAAGGGCTGAATTTAGGGATACTGTTCTGTATGCCTTGACAATCTTTTGAGCGAAGCCTCTCTGCACAACATCCAGACGCTTCCTTATTCCCAATTTTTCTGTTGCCGATGCCCAAGCACTCGCGGCATAAAGTATTGTCGGCTCGACCACGGCTGAGTAAATAGTGCGAATTATCTCGGGCTGCAGACCCCACTGGAGTTTGGCAGCACGAGACAATTGTTTATAAAGATTTAAAGCTTTCCGGCAGATATAACTGACGTGGGAGCTAAAGGTCAGTTTTGCATCGATAATCAGTCCTAGAATCTTCATTTCATCGGACATGCCAATGTCGATCCCCCCCATGTTCAGGCGTGGTGTGTCATATTTTAGTTTACGGGTAATTGTTATTGCGGTAGTTTTATGCGCTGCGAATTTTAATTTATTTTTGACACCCCACTCTTGAACATGTTGGAGTGCGGCATTGGCTCGTTCTTCTATTTCTAGGGCTGTCTGTCCGTCGAACGCCAGTACGACGTCGTCCGCGAACGCCTGGCAGTAGTGACCCTTCTTTTCCAGTTCATGCAATAGTGGGTCAAGCAAAAGATTCCACAATAAGGGGCCACCTATGGAGCCTTGTACACATCCCTTAGTGGTTCCCCTATCATATTCTTCACCGGCGTATTTAACTTTCACCTTCCTATCTTCCAAATAACCATCCACTACTCTTCGCAGGTTAATGGGACATCTTTCCTCAGCCAATCGGACTCTTATGGCCGGCCACCATGCGCTGTCGAAGGCTCCCTCTATATCTAGTGAAACTAAAGTTATTATGCGTTTCTGTTTTATTTTAGCATGTATATGCTGCATAAGAGTATAGAGGGAGTCTTCGGTGCTCTTCTGGGGCATGAATCCATATTGGCGAGTACTAATCCTTGGCACGAGATGGTATTTTAATCTGGCAACTATCATTTTTTCGTAAATTTTCCCTAGCACAGGTAGTAGACCGATCGGTCGATATGATTTCGGTTCGGTGTAATTGGTCTTTCCCGGTTTCCTGAGAATAACTACCGTGGCTTCTTTCCATGGTTTTGGAAAATGACTATGTTTCAGGCATTTATTTGTTATTGCTAGGAAGAGTTCTGGGTCATTTTCAATTGCTTGTTTACAAATGTCGGCCGTTAAGCCGTCACCTCCGGGGGCCTTTTTCGCGTTAAATGTATTTACAGCCATCGAGAGCTCCGCTTGTGTGAACGGTGGATCCCAGGTATCACTTTGGTGTCCATCGTTTATTGTTGCTGCCATTTCTCTAATATTACTGTGATCTGCATTATCATTTGAAATAAGGTCTTCTGGATAGAAAGTTTCGGCCAACAACTTGACAGAACCCTTCGCGTCCAAAAGCTTTCCTTCATGTTGCAATGGGAGATCTTCTTCTCGTTTAGTAACTCTGCCGATCACTCTGTATATTCCTTGCCACACTCCTTCCTTATCCTGCTTCCCACAAAATTCCTTCCAGCTCCCGACTTCGGCCGCTTTTGCTGCTGTTTCATATTTTTCTTTCTGTTTCAGGTACTCATCGACTACTTTCGCTCTACGAACTGGTGCTGCACAGCGGATCCTGTTCTTCAGTGTGGAGGTCTTCCGTTTCATCTCTTCGAGCTCGTCGGACCACCACGGGATGGTAAGTTTCTCAGTATTTTTCTTTTTAGGTATTGAATGATTGCATGCTTGTTCTATTGATTTTGTGTATTTTTATATTATTGACTCTATTTCACCTTTACTGTTAATGTTATTTATTTCAGCTATTGTTAATTTTTGTTCCATGTTAAATTGGTTCAGTTTCTCATGAAACTGAGGCCAATTTGCCTTGCGAGTGTTGTATTTTCTAGTGGTTCTTATAATGTTATTAGTCGTTGATTTTTTCCCTTCTATCTTAAATACAATCCCGTTATGGTCCGAGCCCGTGAGGTTTTCATCTACTCTCCATTCTTGTATCCTGTTAATCATGTTCGAAGTACAGGCCGTTACATCGACATGGCTGCTATATCTTATCCCTCCTCTTATTGTGTCGAAAGTTGGAGTGTTCCCAACATTCAGCAAATGGAGCCCCATATCGTCGAGAGCTGAAACCATTTCAGCGCCCCTATTGTCATCAGTTATACTTCCCCACCAGCTACTCTTTGCGTTAGCGTCCCCACCTATGACCATTTTATTATGACCCATTTCTTTGACTACTTTTTCTATATGCTCTAGGTATGGCTCTATGGGTAAATTCGGCTCGAAGTATTAGGACACCAGGGTAATTGTTGTGTCACCATCTCGAATTCCCACAACTACCACATTGTCTGTAGTAAATTGCGGGTACTGCGTAACCTTAATATTCGAGTCGAAGACCACTATAGCGGCCTTGACTGTGCCTTCTCCCTGGTGAATACTCTGATATATCCTTGTACCCCGGTAGCTCCTCATACCTCGAGCGTTTCCCACATACGGCTCCTGAAGCAATGCGATAGAAATTCCTTGTTTGCGGGATTCGGTCAGCAACTCTATCGTAGCGAGTTTCTTTCTCTGGAGATTTGCTTGCACTATTGTATACCCCGGGACAACCTTAGCAATACGCTATGGAAGACCTGGCTAAGGCCTCCCATTTTCTACGCACCGGACATTCGGAACTGAATGCGTTATGGTCTACACTGTGATTTTTTGCTTTTTCGAAATTTGTACATTTGGGCGTCAATTTGATTGAGAGATCTGGGCAATCAGTTTTAAGGTGCGGTCCAGCACAGTGGCTGCACACATCGGCTTCTTCGGTACAGAATTTCCGGCCATGTCCATACCCTAGGCAGCGCGAGCACTGTATCAGGGGGGACTGGTCGGCCACTCTTATCCTCCATATGTCCACGTGTACAACACGTACATTCTCTGCCAAATTATGGGTGAGACCCTGAGTACTACATGAGCAGTTAAGGGGTTCCTCGCTCTTCTCCTGAACCGTATCTCCATGCGATCTTCTTCTTGCTTTATGTCTCCCAGGAGATGGCGATTTTGCGCTCTAATGGCATTAACGAGGTCATCGTCCGAATAGGACTGCATGACTCCGTATAAGACCACTAAAGGATCCTTATTTTTGATGTCCTCTACGTTCAATTGGTTGCTACTCTTTTTAATTCTTTCCGCTACTTTTTTGATTTCTTCCTTGCTCCTACATCCAATTATCACCTTCCTGTCCTTTGCTTTCCGTATCTTGTCAACTGTTATCCAGCCTTCTTCGTCTTTAACAGCATCTTTAAATTTCTGGATAACTTCATCGCCAGTGTCCGTTTCGTTCGTAGAGGTGACAATCACCGAGTGGAGCGTTGTCGTTTGCGGGGGATTCCTCGCTGTCCGACCCGCTGCCACACTCGCGTACGTAGTGCCTTCAAGCACTTTCTGGTGGTTATCAATCTTGTCACTTAACATTTCAATTCTAGTAAAACTGTTTCTTAAAAGTTCGCTATGTTTCTTCAATTCTCTACGAAGATCTTCCCCAGTTTGTTCTATTCTTTGCGATTTTGGTTCTTGTATTTTGTTACTTGTTTCGTCGGTCTTTCTAGTCTTAAGCTCTTTCATTTCTCCTCTCAGGCTCAAAATTTCCTGTTGTGTTCTTTCCAATGTGGTGGTCTGTGTTTTAATATATTCTAATAATTCGTTAAGTTTGTGTTCGTTTGATTCTGGTTTTCGCATATCTATTTCCAAATTGTAGTCTACTGCTTCTCCTGTATTGATCTTAATGCTCTGCAGCACCATCTTATATAGACCTTTAGTACTTTTTTGTATTTCCTCCTTTATTGTGCGTTTTATATTTCCAGATTGATTTAGGTTAGTACGAATGTTGTCCACATGGTATTTAGTTTCAGCTAGAATTCTTTCTATGATCTTTGTTTGTTCCATTGGATTATTTAAAGTTTCCTGAGACTTTGAGGTCTTCTCTCTATCCGCTGATGCCACTTCTGTTAACCCTGAGTTCGATTGCGAAGAGTGCGCTTTTGTCAACTTCTTCTTTGCTGGTGCGGCGCGACTCTGTGTAGTCATAAATTTGAGTCGAATTGGTTGAGGCTTTGTTCCTGTCTCAGCAGGCACCTCCGTCGTAAATCCAGTGATGTCTATCGGATCGGCCGTTTCTATGTTGCTATTTAAAGCGTTCACATAGGCTTCCGTCGGTGGGGTTGAAGGTTTCGCTTCATAAGTCACGTTTAGCTCGGCGGTCACTTCCCTGTTCGAGTCGGGGCTTGTGCTTTGAGCCCTCTTGGGGGCTTTTGTGGGTGTCCTAATTACAAACATGTTGCTTACGCAGTAGGATTCTAAAATAAAATTCCGAATACTTAGATTCTAAAAGGAGTTAGGTAAAAAGTTTTTACGTGTGAAAATTCTGTAGGTTTTATGATTTTAATCTGCTTGTCTATTCCCGCAAACACCGATTGTAAAAGAAAATTCCGCAAAAAACCCTTCAAAAGCAAAATAAAATCAATTTAAATCCCCAAGTTCACTAAAATCTATATAGTAAATGAAAAAAGGGAGGGGGGGCCTTTTTTTCGATTTCCCGGTGTAAATCGGGGAAATAAACTATGGGGAGGTATATTATACGTAATTACAATGTATTTAAAACAATTTTAGACGAAATTTAGACAAAAATATTTTTTTTAACGTAATTATAATCTATAAATGAAATTTTTTAATTGAATTCTTAATTATACTTAGACTATAGAAATAAGAAGATATACAACTAAAACTACTTAATTTAGTAACAACAATGCAATTATAAGCGAATTGAGAGACATTTCTAAAAATTTTATATATGCAATAATGTATGGAAAATTCTCCCAATGAGTTATTAGATATTATTACTTCATGTATATCAATTTACACAACGACGATCGTTTATATATATATTGTTTTTTCTTTTGGTTTGGGTTAGGTTTGGCGAAAAATATTCCAATGAGTTATTAGATATTATTACTTCATGTATATCAATTTACACAACGACGATCGATTATATATATATTGTTTTTTTTTTTGGTTTGGGTTAGGTTTGGCGAAAAATATTCCAATGAGTTATTAGATATTATTACTTCATGTATATCAATTTACACAACGACGATCGATTATATATATATATATTGTTTTTTTTTGGTTTGGGTTAGGTTTGGCGAAAAATATTCCAATGAGTTATTAGATATTATTACTTCATGTATATCAATTTACACCACGACGATCGATTATATATATATATATTGAAAAATATTCCAATGAGTTATTAGATATTATTACTTCATGTATATCAATTTACACAACGACGATCGATTATATATATAATGTTTTTTTTTTGGTTTGGGTTAGGTTTGGCGAAAAATATTCCAATGAGTTATTAGATATTATTACTTCATGTATATCAATTTACACAACGACGATCGATTATAAATATATTGTTTTTTTTTTTTGGTTTTGGTTAGGTTTGGCGAAAAATATTCCAATGAGTTATTAGATATTATTACTTCATGTATATCAATTTACACAACGACGATCGATTATATATATATTGTTTTTTTTTTGTGGTTTGGGTTAGGTTTGGCGAAAAATATTCCAATGAGTTATTAGATATTATTACTTCATGTATATCAATTTACACAACGACGATCGATTATATATTATATTGTTTTTTTTTTGTGGTTTGGGTTAGGATTGGCGAAAAATATTCCAATGAGTTATTAGATATTATTACTTCATGTATATCAATTTACACAACGACGATCGATTATATATATATTGTTTTTTTTTTTTTGGTTTGGGTTAGGATTGGCGAAAAATATTCCAATGAGTTATTAGATATTATTACTTCATGTATATCAATTTACACAACGACGATCGATTATATATATATTGTTTTTTTTTTTTGGTTTGGGTTAGGTTTGGCGAAAAATATTCCAATGAGTTATTAGATATTATTACTTCATGTATATCAATTTACACAACGACGATCGATTATATATATATTGTTTGTTTATTTTGGTTCGGGTTAGGTTTGGCGAAAAATATTCCAATGAGTTATTAGATATTATTACTTCATGTATATCAATTTACACAACGACGATCGATTACATATATATATTGTTTTTTTTTTTTTGGTTTGGGTTAGGTTTGGCGAGGAGGTGGTGTGCGGTGTTCCACAGGGGTCGGTGCTTGGACCGCTCCTGTGGAACATCGGATATGACTGGGTGTTAAGGGGTGCCGGTCTAAGAGGTGTTAAGGTCACATGTTATGCTGATGACACACTAGTTACAGCTCGTCAGGCGACCTATAGATAGGCGGCGATATTGGCAACGGCGGGGGTTGCACATGTTGTGGGGCGAATCCGGCGGCTGGGTTTGAACGTGGCCCTGGAGAAGTCGGAGGCCGTGTGTTTTCACGGTCCTCGGAGGGCGCCGCCTTTGGATGCGCACATTGTTGTTGGAGGGTTCCGCATAGACGTGAAGAGGACATTGAAGTACCTCGGCCTTGTGCTAGACAGCCGGTGGGACTTCCGGGCACACTTCAGTGCTTTGGTGCCGCGGTTACTGAAGGAGTCGGCGGCGCTATGTAGGCCCCTGCCAAACATAGGTGGGCCAAGTGTAGCAACGCGGAGGCTATACACAGGAGTGGTTCGCTCGATGGCGATGTACGGGGCCCCAGTGTGGGCGGATGGCCTGTCTCGCGACAACATCGCCCTGCTGCGGAGGGTGCAAAGGGTGATGGCGATTAGGGCCATAAGGGGGTACCGTACGATCTCGGCGGAGGCGGCGTGCTTGCTGGCCGGCCTATTGCCTTGGGACCTGGATGCGCGTTCCTTGGCGTCGATTTATTGTCGGCGTCGAGGCATAGCGTCCGGGGACCCCAGCACAGCGCCAATAGAAGAGGAAAACGAGCGGGTTGCCGCGTTGCAAGAGTGGGGGTCCAGGCTGGAGCGCCCTTGCGCTGGCCGACGGACCGTCGAGGCAGTTCGCCCCGTTCTCGCACAGTGGTTGGGTAGGCGTCATGGCGTCTTAACCTTCCGCGCCACGCAGATCCTCTCGGGGCATGGTTGCTTCGGGGGGTACCTGTGTCGGGTCGCCGGGAGGGAGCTCTCTCCTCGCTGCCACCACTGTGACGACTGCCCGGACGAGTCCGCCCAGCATACGCTGGAGGTGTGCCCGGCCTGGGAGACGGAGCGCGAGGCGCTCCAGAGTGTCATAGGGGCGGACCTGACGTTGCCGGCTGTGATCTCAGCCATGGCCGGTAGCGAAAGGTCCTGGGATGCCGTCCTGTCCTTCTGCGAGGTGGTGATGTCGCAGAAGGAGGCGGCGGAGAGGGCGAGAGAGGCCAACGCCGAGCTCGCCATCCGCCGCAGAAGGACCGGGCGCCGGAGAGCGGTATACGATCGCCACCTCCCCCCTTAACACCAGCCAGAGGGTGGTCGGCTTGGGGAAGTCGGCCGCCCACTAATCTGGCCCGAGTAGGCGTGCGCGGAGACGTCCGCGCGCCACTCGAAGAAGGCCATCGGGGGTTAGCTCCCTGATACGGGACGGGCCGTAAGAGGCTCTCGCCGCTGGGGTCTACAGAGGAATACGGATACCTGTGACCCCAGCTTTGTGGCGACAAGGTGGCCTTTCGTCAGGTTTTTAGTGGGTAGGCTGCCGCGCGTTTTCCATCTTTGCGCGGCAGGAGCCCCACATAACCCGTTCCGCCTATCCCCAGGCGGACGGGTACCCGGGAACAGGGTTTTCCTGACGTTAAAAAAAAAAAAAAAAAAAAAAAAAAAGGTTTGGCGAAAAATATTCCAAAGAGTTATTAGATATTATTACTTCATGTATATCAATTTACACAACGACGATCGATTATATATATTGTTTTTTTTTTTGGTTTAGGTTAGGTTTGGCGAAAAATATTCCAATGAGTTATTAGATATTATTACTTCATGTATATCAATTTACACAACGACGATCGATTATATATATATTGTTTTTTTTTTTGGTTTGGGTTAGGTTTGGCGAAAAATATTCCAATGAGTTATTAGATATTATTCTTTCATGTATATCAATTTACACAACGACGATCGATTATATATATATATTGTTTTTTTTTTTGGTTTGGGTTAGGTTTGGCGAAAAATATTCC